TGATATAATACTTTCTCTATGTAATACTTGATATAATACTTTCTCTATATAATACTTGATTTGATTCAACATCTAATGACTCCAACATGCCCCCCAGTGGCACAGCGGTATGTCTGCGGACTTACAACGCTAGAAATCGGGTTTCGATACCCGTGGTGGGCAGAGTACAGATAGCCCATTGTGTAGTTTTGTTCATAACTACAAACAAGACTCCAACATAATAATAAGTTATTCAACGCTTCGCTTGTACAATTTCCCCAGAAGCTTTTTTTTAAGCGCAAGGCTACACAATCGGCTCTGTTCACCGCGAAGGATCGATCCTCTGATTTTAGTGTTGTAAGTCCTTAAACTTACCGCTGACTGACTAGGGGATTCTTCATAAGCGCTCATTTTGAGTTTTCTAATAAAAGTCGAAGGGTGCTTCTAAAAAAGTTGAAAAAACCCAAACGTTGACCAAATTATTGTTTTTTCTAGAGTTAGTAGTCGTTTCATCAAATAAATAAAATATGTCCAAATATTTTATTCTATACTTATACAAAGTGTATAACATTATTTTATATTGTTGGTGATAAATTATAATATTACTATGATACTATTTTACACTGTTGAATACCATGTTATTTGTTGAAGACATTTTCTGTACTGTACTGTATAATTTTTTTTTATATTGGTTTAGATGATAATACTATTTTAAATGTTTGTACTCATTTATACTCATTTACGTCGTTGTGTACTAAAACAAGGGTTCATAATTCTTCCTTCGAACCTTTAAAAACATGAAATTATTGCGTAGCAAGAAAATAAGTACAGAATTTTAACGTTTTCATAATTTGTTTGTTTGTAGTAAAGCACAAAGCTACACAAAGGGTTATCTGTACTCTCCCCACCACGGGTATCGAAACCCGATTTCTGGCGTTGTAAGTCCGCAGACACACCGCTGTGCCAGTATCAACTTTTTTCTTTTTGGTGCAGACAATATTTTTACAGTACATTAAAATGTTTATAATTTTACCACAAAAAATATTAAGTGGGGACATTTGGTATTGTGATGGCAACACCGCGTCAACAGGGTGAAGGTAGACGGAAGCTCATTGACAGAAAGAGTTAATTAAGCATCAGTATGGACTTTTATGGACAGCTTCATGTAAGTTTGGGTTGTTTTCTCATACGAGTCATACTGACGATATAACATATTCATAAACTGGAAGTTTCGGTAGTTCGCTAGTTCCTGAATTTTTATACTAATCTTGATGATACGGATGAAAAATATTTTCCTGCTATACTTTATCGATTATACGAAAAACTTCCACAAATTGCTTTTCTTTGAATTACTCTTAAATGATTTAAATCGTTTTTAGAATTACTTTTTTAGGGGGGAGTACCATTCAGTTTAGTACAACTTTAAACCACGAGTTAAAATCAAACAAGAGTAAACACGTTTACTATATCATGTCGCTATTATTTGCATGAAAATAATAAATTTACAATCAAAGTAGGTACCAACATGGTCTCGTTTAGGATACACAAAGTTAACACTAAACGTGTGATAGTTTATTTTATAACTTCAGTTAATAATCACTTGAAGGAACTAAGAACTTTATCTCACTGTAGCTTGAAATAATAAAGACGCCGAGAAATGTTTGTAGTTTAAAATGTATACTAGATAGTTATTGAACCGAGGGCTGCTTGCTATAAACGTCTTCCAACAATATTCGACTTTTTTAACCCTGTTTCTTTTGACTCTTACCTGAAGTAGCAGAATTAACTTTCAAATAAGTTAATTATTTCAATATCAAGTTTGCTAATAGACACTAACATGACTGTTGAAATTGACTTCATCACCTATACTGATCTGTTGGCTTGACATAGCCCGAGGATTAGGGCACTCGACTCGTAATCTGCGAGCCGTGGATTCGAATCTCGTCACCGAACACTCTCGCCCTTTCAGTCTTGGGCGGGGGGGGGCGTTATAATGTGGCGATCAATCTCACTATTCGTTGGTAAAAGCGTAGCCCAAGTAGTGGATGAAACTGCTTTCCCTCTGGTCTATCACGTCAGAATTAGGGACAGCTGACGCAGGTAGCCCTCGAGTAGCCTTGCGTGAAATTCCACAAACAAACTGATGTGTTTCGAAACCTACTACAATCAATGCTAATAATTATTTTATAAACCATTATCTTTGAAGTAGCATTCGTCTATTAAGCGTAATAACATATACGTTAAAATAAGACAGATTCATTTCTCCATATTAAATCGTCTGGTACTGAGATCAAAATCCGACTTCAACGTCAATATTTAAAAAAAAACAGAAAATTATTTATTAAAGCATCATAACTATATATTTAAGAAGCGAAATATCCGCGGAAAGAGAATTAAAACTGGTATCTTTTAAAAGTAGAGAAAAACAAATAATTTTGGTAGCTTGTGAGAATTTAAAAATTCACCTTCGACGATGACTTTATGAGAGAGAAAATGAACTGTTGAATGAAAGTCCAGTTTTCGAATTGTTATTTAGAGGAGCCCCCAGTGGCAGAGCGGTATGTCTGCAGACTTACAACGCTAGAATCCGGGTTTCGATACC